TATGTGGATCGGAGGGTTCAGGATTCAGAGGGAACACGACATATTATAAAGTAATCATGGCCCCTTAAAAAGTGAGCAGGTTGTCCGTTTGTACAGAGCGATGCCCTTTCGGGTTGAATTGGTGGTCGGTGGCTGTCTATGACTGGCCCAATAAGTGGTCCTGTGTGTCGGCATTTCAAATGTAGACCTAGACATCTAAATTGCCAACGAACGAGATCCGTTCCCAAAGTTCATCTTTAAGTGGAATTTGTAGATAAGCTGGAAATATAATACTATGCTTCATGATGATAATTTTACTGTAATAATAATAGTAACTACATACGGCACTGTATTGTACATCGAGCCGATGTACCGCTGAAGCTGCGCAATATTTTCCACGAGCGTCACAAAATAGTATCTGTGTTCGTTATTACGCACCACTGTATTTAACCCGAGTGTTTGTGGCTGATGTCTGCATTCCTTATTATTTATGCTGGTTGGAATGTCGCTAATGCCGCTCTGCGCAGTAACAATAAAGATTATAAATAAAGAGAGCACATAACCCTCTGTCCTGGCCTCACTCCACTGGCTGCCTGTATATTATAGAATCCATTTAAAAATTCTTATGTTTGTTTAATGTTTTTAAATCTTTTCACAGTATTGCCCCCCTTTACCTCTCTGAGCTCCTCCACCCCTACACTCCGGCTGGGTCTCTCAGGTCAGCTGGTCAGCTGCTCCTGGAAGTACCGAGATCCAGGAGGAAGCTCAGAGGAGACAGGGTTTTCTCTGTCGTTGCTCCCACATTATAGAATAACTTGCCCTGGCACGTTATTCTCACTGTCCACCTTTAAAACACGTCTTAAAACTCACTTTTATGATTTCGTTTTTGGCCCTAGCAGGACTTAGTTTTCTTTTAGTTATCTTACTTTGAATTTGTTTTTATTTTTCTTTTCTATCGCCAGTGCTGCAATGTACAGCACTTTGTGTCAGCTATGGTTGATTTAAAGTGCTTTATAAATAAAGATGGTATGGTGTGGTATTATATGTCTTCTATTTCAGTATTAGAGGATTTAAATGAGCGATACGTATTCCTCTATTTAGCAAGCTGTAATTGTATTAAAATCAGATCAGAGACCAAACTGTAAGATGTTCAGTTTAGCTATGTTTGGAATCGATTTAATATAATCACATAACGTATCGTTTTTTTTTTTCTTTGTAATTTTTAAAGCTTTTAACCTACTATTACTAATGGTTTGGATTGTCACTTTATGGAATCACTATTAACCTAAAACCAACAGTTCGATGACCCACTAATTTTTGTATTAATTTATAGGTAAACAATTGTGGGGGAAACAGCTTTCAAAGAGAAAAATACCTTTCATACAAGACAGAAGACGCTCTCAACAGGCAACAGCTGTTAGTTATCATGGCCCAAAGGACGGTAAGTTTATGATGTTAATGATGTTCAAACAAGATTAACTATATTAGCTGTGCTTTCAGAAGTAGCATCTCTGCTCTGAGCGCGCTCAACTTGGCCTGCCCCCGAGCGCCAGCAGACCAAAATAGACAAAAATCCACAAATAAAATTCACAAATGTAAATGAAAAACATTTTTATAGCTATTTTTATAGATGACTGACAGTGTAGGATGTTCCTTCCAATATCTAACAATACTTACAATATCATCAGAAATACAGGAATCAAAGTGAGAGACCTTACTTTTGGTTTTCCCGTGGTCTTCAGGT